AAAGTAAAATATAATGCCAGTAAAATAAAAATCTTCTCTAGAACTGGCAAATTTATTAGGACTTTTAGGACTGTTTAAGACCGTTTAACATCTCTAGTATTTATTAAAATTAATTATTTAGATTTAAAGTTTTAGGCAAAGTTATGCTAATATGTTGACCATTTTATTTAATATTTTAGGTTATGGAGAATATAATATAAAAGTTTTATAATTAAATTTTAAATAACATAAAAGTTAGCTTTAAACTAAAATATTTAATTATATCAATCAGAGTTAAATAATTAATAAATTGATTTTGACACTTTTTTTTATATTATTGCAATCAGTTTTCTCTAGTAAAAGTTATCTAATATTAATTCAATTTCGATAAACTTGATAATAATTCAATATAATAACATTTAACCATATTTAAATTTTTAATATATATTATTATGTATAATTTTCCAATCAAAGCTAATTAATTTAAATAAAATAGATGTATATTATATGGTAGGAAAATGGGACTCTAAGTATTTTTTATTAAAATTTTAATTTTTATTGCATTTTAATTTTTGATAATGTTAAATTAAAATGCAATAAAAATTAAAAAATACTCAGAATCCCATTTTCCTTACATATAATATAAAATGAAAAATGATCGGCAAATGATCGGCGAAATGATGCAAAATAAGCATGTCCGCTCCGCTATGCTGTTCATTTGTCAAACGGTGCCCAGTTGAACTTAGTTTAATTCTTTTATTTTTCAGAGTTAGTATCTTTACTTTGCATAGACTTCTTGTATGTAATTATATTACTTTACTTGTTTTGTAATAAAGTTTAAGATGCACTACCGCATCGAATTCAAAAATGCAAAAAAAAAAAACGCTCTTCTATGCTGTGTTCATAATTTACACCATTCTATCAAGGATGCATTGAATTATGATTTTATTAGATAATTTAAATTCAAATTTTGTAATACTTACAAAATTTCTTGCAGATTTAATGTTTATTTTAACAAAATTAAATAATATATTTCAACGAGATTATATTTCAATTTCCGATATTCAATTTAATTTCGATGCAATTACTACATAATTTATTGGATATAATGATACAACACCAACATATGGAACTTATTTAGCTGTTTATATGACTGAAAATTTTATAAATCCAGAACAGCTTCCTTCTTCTATAATTGAATTCGCAACAGCTATAATCCAAAGTTTATAGTCTCGCTTTCCAGATAATATTGATTGGAAATCCATATTATTTTTGGAAAGATACAACGATAATAATACATATTAATAAATCACATGATTAAATTGCACAAAAATATGTGTACAATAAATAAATACTTTATTATTGTTGCGCAAAAAATGTGGCTGATGATAATCTTGATAAATAATCATCAATAACATGCATAACATAAAAACAATTTCCTAAAATATTTTTTTAAATAAAATTTCAGCATTTCAGCATTTCGTTTTTATAAATTTTCTTATGATATAAATTTTGATTAAATGATTGCCTTTGAAAATCATTCTTAATCCAATTGATCACTCGATTGTGTAATAGTAACGTAATTTACTTTAAAAAAAAAATTATTTATATTATAGGGATTTAGGATATTTAGGATAATAAAAAAAGAAATGAATCAACACTTTTTTTTGCAATTCATAAAATTGGCCGTAAAGAAACTTTCTTGTTTCAAAGCAACTAGATGGCTTCACTTTAGTAGAATTGCATTCCAAAATAGGAATTAAAGGTTTCAGAGTTCAGTTAACCATCTAGTTTCATAGTTATAACATAACTCTATTCTCTCAATCAGCCAATCAGATGATACATACAACTACTCAAACAAAATTACCTTATTTTGGAGCCAAATACTCGAGTTGAATTTCAGCCTTTCATGTTTGCATTTATTTGATTTTGGAGCTCACTTATGGAAAAAGATTGACTATGTTGTGTATATTAATTGTATGATTGAAATTTTCGATTTATACAAGATTAACATTTTGATTCATCAAAAAAATTCTAATTAAAAAAAAATTTAAATTATGTTCACTATGGAAAGTTGTGGATCTCTCTCGGTGATTTAAAGAATATGTCGGTAAATCGGTAGCCTGATTTGGGAGTGATGGTGGGAATTTTTTTTCAGCCCAATCCCAAGGGTGTTTTCTTTCGGTTTTTAAAGGATAAAAAGATTTAGAAACGAAAGTTATTAGTCACATTATTTCGATATTAGGTAATACAGTAATACAACAAAAACTGGATTAACTTACAAACAATACCCTGTGCGACATTACCCTTGATTTTCCATTCATACGTTTGTGTAATCCATTATTCTTTAAAAAGATGCAAAAGAAATTTTCAACAACAAAAAAAAAAAAGAAAATCCTCCATGACTAGTTTACTTAATATTAATTCTGATGGGAATTCAATTAATTCGTCCGTTTCCGAAGTCCAATTATCAGATGAACAAATTCGAGAATATCAAGACATTCTTAATTTGTTAGCGGATGAAAATGTTATGTAAGTTTATTCATGGGTTGTGAAATTTTATTCTCATGCACGTACGCACTCCCAAATTCTGATGTTTTGGTTCATTCGGTCTTTTTTCCAGAGCTTATGGATATCTTTTGGAGGAGACAATTCGTTTGACGGAAGGTTTGGTCGATCGTCA